CTTTAGTGACATTTAATTCTCTAAACATCAAGCCTGACACAAAACACTCACTGTTTTTACTTGATGTCTGCTCCTTGCACACATCAATCCCACATGCTGACGGCTTTAGGGCCTTGAATTTTTTCCTAGAAAAAAAAAACGCACTCCTCTATCCCTACTGACACTATTATCAGATTGGCCGAACTGGTACTTGACCTCAACTCCTTTGAATTTAATGGCCATTTCTTTGACCAAATCCGTGGTGTAGCTATGGGCACTAAAATTGGCCCTAGCTATGCTTGCCTATTCATGGGTCATTTTGAATCTATGATAGAGAGGGCATAGACTGGCAATATTCCTGAATTTTATAGGAGATACATAGATGACCACAAAGGTATCACCAGCATGGAAACTAATGGTCTCCAGAAATTTATAGATTTTTTAAACTCATTTCACCCATCAATAAAATTTACTTCTCAAATCTCGGGAATTCTGTCAACTTCCTTGATATCACCGTAACTTTGAAAGAAAATGAATTGATTACATCTGCCTACTACAAACCAACTGACAGCCATAGTTACCTATTGTACTCATCCTCCCACCCTAAATCATGCAAAGACTCCATACCTTTCTCACAACTTCTTAAACTACGGCGTCTCTGCCAAATTGATGAGGAATTTCTAGAAAGAGCCGATGAAATGGTGGATTTCTTCCACTCCAGATCCTAGCCTGAAACTACTCTGGTCTCAGCACTAGATCGCATCAGCACGATCACACGAAAGGAGGCTTTCAAAACTCGCCAAAACAACAATGAAGATCGTACAAAACTTACCACCCTCACAATTTAACTGCCAAAAAAATATTCCTAAAAAATTGTAGCATACTTCTTGCTGACCCTGATACCAACAGGGTTTTCTCATCCCCTCCACTGATTGTCTTTAGACGGGACAGAAATCTAGGTGATCATCTGGTTCATAGTCGCCTTCGATCTGAACCGTCTTACGTTGGTACTAAACCATGCTTAAGGAGCCGCTGCAGGACTTGTCCCTTTACCCTCCAAACTGAAAGCATTAGCCTCCCTAAAGATACCTTTACCATTAAAGAGGGTTTCACCTGTGTCAACCGTAATGTAATATATGCGATTGTGTGCCGTAGATGCCAGTCTAGTTACATAGGTGAAACTGGGAGAAGATTGGCTGATAGGTTTACTGAACATCTAAGGGATATTAAGCAATGCAAACTTTCCCCAGTCTCTTCTCGATTCAACAGAAAAGAACATAATGGTGCATTGGATATAACCATTACGGCACTGATTTCATGCAGTAACACACCAGAGAGGATTAAAATGGAAAATAAATTTATTCAGCTGTTTGCCACCATATCTCCATTTGGTATTAATCAAATAATATCCTACTGATGTTTCTCTGTTTCCTATATGTCATCTATTTTCTTATTGCTGTGTGCTGATGTATCCATGGATATGCTAGTCTATTATTATTGTGTACTTCATTTTTCACAGTGTCGATATTTATATTCTCTCGCTTCCTGTGTTCCCACTTCCGGCGACACGAATGGATACTTCTTGATTTGTCTACTGTGCTCTGTTCTTTTTATATTTTCATTTCTAATGTTGGCTGAGGAAGGCTTTATGCCGATACGTCCTTGTTTTTTGTCCTGTTATCTTATTCAAGCTTCCACATACCTCGTTTTGCTATTTCATTCATTGGGAGGGGGGGCAGGAAATGGTAGACATATTCAGTTACGGCAGTTTCCGTGAACTCATAGAATTTGCCTATCAGTTTAACGGGAAAGGTGAAAGATTATCAGTTAATTAATTAATTACTTAAGATAAGTGGAAAGTCTCATGTTGTCTACATAACTTCACGACAAGCTAAGAGTGTTTGTCTGTTTTTCTTTGCTGCCGAAGGTTTTTGGGCGGGAAAGTCCGCTTGTTTTGTTTGTTTTTTTGTGTTGTCCTCTTTGAGGGTTTCCTCTACCCTGTGAATATCTATTATTGACCGCATTCCTCCCGGTATTTTCCTAGGCATATGCGTCCTCTTCTTCTTATATATTTTGAGGACCCACGATCAATGAATTGATCATTCTGGCTCCTATTTTTCAGAGGGGCTCGCGATGTTACTGTGCATGATTTTGAAAGGGATACATCAGTGGTTGCAAGGGCTACTCAGCGGTGGTATTATGAACTGGGGGTTGGAAGACAGGAGGCAATAGACGCAAATGTGTCAAGTGTAGTCGCCTCAACTGTTGCTTTTGGAAGCCTGTTCCAGTCCCTTATTGTCTTAGGCAGGAATGAGGAGCTCCTGTGCTGAGTTCTTGTTTTTATTAGCCTCATTAGCTTTTTTTACAATCCAGTTAAGTATGTCTTCTTTGACTGTCACAATAAATTATTTTGATTTAAATAATCAAAATTTAACATATAGCCATCGCTGCAAACACAGGCATGGCTGAGAGACTGGCTCCACGGTGGCTCTGAAAAAAAAATGCCTATGTTCGTGCTGTGCTAAAAATTCCTTAGAGCCACGAGTTTTCACGTTCGCCTGTTTTGTCCTGAGTCAACGATACAGCGGGTGAATAAAGGACCATCCTCAATTTCAGAAATCATCTTTCGGTTAATGCACTATTATAACTAAGTATGAAATGAACAAGAAAGACTAATACGATGAATATTCTTCCTTTGATGTCTCTGAACAAGATAGATACGAATGTAGTTGATTGCTGTTTGTGTAATTGTTTACCTTTCATGCTTATGATTGAAGAAAATATTTGCTACAACTTTAATAAACCTACATTGTAATTCAGATGTGTTCATTCGTGTTTAAAAGTGTTGGGATGAACGAAATGTACTGCAGCTTTGTTTAACATAATATAAAATCATACGAACATTCGTGCATTGAAATCAATTTATAAGAATAACACAGCGACTACGTTTGAGTTACAGATAAAAATTGAAAGAGAAATTATGGAACGTTCTATTGAAGACAGTTAAACATCAGTTTCTTCTAGGACAGGGGTCAGGAACCTATGGCTCGCGAGCCAGATGTGGCTATATTGATGGCTACATCTGGCTCGCAGACAAATGTTCGATTCTAAAAAAAAGTCGCATTATGGTAAGAAATACTCTTTAACAGCATAACAATGTCATTTAAAGGAATTCAGAGACATAGTTATTGCATTTTTAGTGTCGAAATTACACAAAATGCACACATTTACTTGAATTTTTAGTTTTAAACATAAAGTATGGCTCTCACAGAATTACTTTTCAAAATATGTGGTGTCCATGGTTTTCTCAGACAAAAAGGTTCCAGACCCCTGTTCTAGGAGCAGACTATATGTATACGAATTTCTATTTAATTTAATGAACACAGAGTAAGAGAAAAATGAAATGAGACTAACGAAAGTTGACGTTGAGCCTTAAAAAAAAATGGGTGGGGGGGGGGCAAACAAAAAACGATAGCCACTATTTTGGATCAAAATGGACACCCTGACATAACACAATGTATATTTGAAAAGACCCCCCCCCCAAGCCATTGCCTACGCTATTGAATATAGGCATTTATATTTATATATATTGAGGAAGATAAGTAAAATGGGTTT